ACGATTGGAGTCACTCAATGACCGGATTATTTGAAAAGGCGCGATCCGGTCGAATTGTCGACGACACACCTGAGGGAAGGGTTGAGCACCGGACGCTGGTCTGCGTCCGGTCAAGGTGGACCGGACGCGTCCGGTCGAAGAAATACGCCTCGGGGAGCTTACTGGAAACGACCGGACGCTGGGGCTTCAGCGTCCGGTCAGTTTTGACCGGAGCGTCCGGTCACTTCAGAGCTAGTGAAATCGAGCGAACATCGTTTGAAGCTGGTGACGCGTGGCGTCCATCGGATGACCGGACGCCGAGGGCCAGCGTCCGGTCGGTATGACCGAGCGTCCGGTCGAGCGTGTTTTGCCCAAAGGAAGGGGTACAACGGCTCTATTTGATGGGGGCTCTATTTATAGCCCCATGGCGGCTAAGGAAACTCTCTTGCACATTTTCATTGACATAGCAACCTTGTGAGCTTAGCCAAAGCCCTCCCACTCATCTCCATCATTGATCCATCATCATTGTGAGATTGGGAGAGAATCCAAGTGCATTGCTTGAGTGATTGCATCTAGTGGCACTTGGTATTCGTGTGGCGCCGCTGGATTTCGCTTGTTTCTCTTGGTGGTTGCCACCACACCTAGACGGTTGGAGCAGCGGTGAAGGATCGGCACGAGTTGGTGATTGTTCGTGGCCGCCGCCGGTGATTGTGAGGGAGTTGTACCTTCCCGGCGAAGCGCCGAAAAGGTAACTCTAGTAAATTGCTCGTGTCATTGAGTTACCTCACTTGTGGGTCGGTTCTTGCGGTGTCCTATCGTGTGGACGAGGTTTGTGAAACACCTCTTAGTCGCCGAACCACCAAGTGTTGGTCGACACAATGAGGGACTAGCGTGTTGGCAAGCACGTGAACCTCGGGAGAAAAATTGGTTGTCTCTTGTCATTTGCATTCTCCCGGTGATTGGATATATATTCATCGTGTAATTGGTTCACTCCACGACCCGACGGTATAATCGTCTCACTTACTCATTTACATTTCCGCAAACTAGATATAGCAAGCTCTTTAGTGTAATTAGAATTGAGAGCTTGCCTTGTGCTTTAAACATATCTAGTGGAGCTCTTTAGTGTAGCTTTTGTGAGAGCTCTTAGTGAGTAGTGGTCAAGTAGATTGTGTGCAAATAGATCATTGCAACTAGAATTGTTGGATAGGTGGCTTGCAACCCTTGTAGAGCTAGAGCAAGTTTGCATTTCGCTATTTGTCTTACTAATCAAATTGCTCTAGTTGATTTGTAGTTTTTAAATAGGCTATTCACCCCCCCTCTAACCATATTAGGACCTTTCACCGTGGCGTGCCGACCTAATTAGAAGCTAGCTGTTGGAAAGCCTGAATATAAGCAAATCATTGAAGACAAGCTGGTCAGTGTTAACCCTCTTGTTTGCTTATTCTAAACAATTTGAGCATAAGCTTTGATGTGTCTTTCTTCAGAAAATACCATGTCTGTTTGATGATACTGTAAGGGAGTTAATGTGGGGATTGAAGAATTGCATGCGGGATTTAGTGCCTGAAGAAAAATTGAAGCTGACTAGAGAGGATTGTCTTCAAATGAGTGAAGGAATGAAAATTGTCTTGAAACATTATAATGTTGAAGTCGAACCAGAGATTGTAAGTTTATCACCTCCTTCCCAATGTATCTATTGTTTTCTACTTTGTTACTATCTTAGTATATTGTTAAATTTTTGTGGACCAAGTATCCTTAATTTTAAGTGGTTATTAAAATATTTTGATTCAAATATATTTGTGAGCTTTTTCGTTTTCTATTGTTGATGTTAATGCTCCTTAATCACAGGTCAATCAAGATATCATTGAGGATGCATCTGATATATATTGTTGTGATCGTGTTGTGGACAGACACTCTGAGAACCTAAGAGCTGCTGGAAAGCATCTTAAGGAAATATCAGGCATTGACACTCAGGATTGGAATATAGTAAAACTTGCGGGTGCTCTCAAGTTAATGTTCTATCCTGAAGAGGAGTTTCCTGCTGCTGGAGAGGTATATATCATGAATACTTCGTTGATTTACTAACAGACTCTTGATTTATTCTTGCCTTTTGACGTGTCTTTATGAAGGAACGTAGCTTTCATTAAATATCAATTTCTGTTTCTTTCAGATTTTTTCAGATGTGTATTCGAGGTTGGTGAAAGATGGGCCTCCATACAAGGGAAAGATCTTCAAAATGCCATGCAAAATAACATTTGAAGAAAATTTTGAGGCCAGTCGCTTTAGAAATGAGTTAATAACTGTTGCATTATGAGGTGAAGAAGGCAAAAGAAGAATACAAACTTGTAAAGGTGACTGCCGAGCTTTGAAGCTACTGGATATTAGAATTATTACTCAATGGCCCCGTTCGGCTGGCAGAATTTTGGCTGAAACTGGCTGAAAAATACTGTTCCGACTGAATTGTTGTGAGAGAAAAAACTGTTCCGACTGAAAAAAGAAACCGAACAAACCGAATATGGGGTAAGCCGAACGAGGCCAGTAATAGAGTGCTACTCGTTATCCTAGTACGTGTTAGCAACGTTGAATGACTTCTGTCTGTAAAATAGTACTTACTCTTTGTGCATGTGACTATGAGAATATGAGATGCTTACGATGGATATCAAAGTACTTTTAGGCGTAGATCAGTGGGTAATACTTAGATAGAAGACTTGGGTCGCCAAGCGCAGTCGTGGCCATGGCGCCGCCAACATGGTGGCCGCGAAGGCAGTAGAGGTAGCCATCAACGCGCTCGCCAGGTAATCGAAGGTAGCAGCAGCACAAGCGCGGTGCTGTGGCGATGGTGAAGGCGATGGAGCTTCCCGTCGCTTACAACGCTCCTCTCGATCGGTTTAGGGTTAGGAACTTCGGTGGAGGTGTTGGTGGCTATAGTGAACCTCATGTCTTGTGCCCCAACCCCACCGTTATTTTATGGCGCTGCGCGACGGAAGCCCATCAACCAGTAGAAAGGTTGAGCGTCCCCGATCAGGGCGCGGATCAATGACCTAATTGGCCGGTGGAGCTCAATCTAATATTCTCTCCCTTGATTTCACCTTATGACTTAAATTTAACTTCATTTTTCTTTTTCCTATTCCATCACAGATCAGTGCATAGAGTGTATCTCATTGTCACGGTTAGTTGCTATTAGATTTAACAGCTACAATACACCTCTATGTTTTGAAACAGATACTCAACTAGGCCTTTAGTATCCAAAAATCATAAGATTTCCCGTAAACCCATATCGACTGTGTGTTCTCTGAACACACGGGGTGGTAAGCCTTTGGTAAACGGATCCGCAAGTACTTACTCGGTACTTATGTGCTCAATGCTTTCAAAATGATTCTGAATTTTCTCCTTTATAACATATAACTTAGTGTCAATATATTTGGCAGCACACTTAACTTATTGTCTTAAGAGTTAGCTACTTTAAATAGTTATTGCTGTTGACTACCATTGTTAAATCCGGGTACTAATTCTCTTAACTTCCTTTTACCTGTTCCTTAAGCCTCATGTCAAGCTATACTATGGTATGCATCACTGATGACACCACAACTGTTTCTTTAGAGTTTTTCCACAATAATACTCCAACTGCGAGTGTTAACAACTACTGTGAATTTTACTACATATCTCGTCAAGACTTAACATTTGTACCCTTAACTATTCGATAATACTTATTATTTCTTACTCAGCATGAGGCCTATGATACTTTGTAAAATTGTAAGACATTCTCAACTCTATTCCAGTGATCTATATCTGGACTGGACTTCTGTCAAAATATCCCGGGTACGTAAACTACGTCAGGATAAGTTCTTACTTATACTTGTACACTCATCAGCTATATGATAAGTATTTACAAAGAATATGATATCTATCATATCCGAACAGATTTTTCTTCATCGCCGAGATGTCTTCTGATTGTCTGTACGCCGACCAGAGCCGAGCACCATGGGCCTTGATCCTATAGACTAGACCTCCCCTCCCCTGGTGTGCGGCCCATATCCATCGTCGTGGGTACCCGCGGGATGCGACATTGCGACGACGACGACGCCGAGGCAGGGGCTGGCATGGTTGAGGCCGACACGCTGCGGAGGAGGGCCGTGGCCCGTGGGGGCCAGAGCGTCGGCCTGTGGCCCAGCGAGACACAAAAGGCGAGGTGAGGAGTGGAGTAGGCAGTAAGAAGTCCGAGCGGGTGAAGATGGGTACGGCGGCGGGGAGAATACGTGGAGAGGCAGTGTGCAGCTAATTTATTTACCGCAGATTCTTTTTTTTCGGTCAAAGCGGCGTGGACCCGTTTACAACGCCGTAGGCGGAGGCCAAGACACGTGAACCGGCGGAGTCCGTGGATTAACCAAGCTTTTACCGGCACTCAGCAGTCACCGATAACAGGTGTGATGCAGGCATTGGAAGTTTACACGCGGATGCCCTGGCCGTCGTCCAATTTATCCCTCATTGAAGATCTACTAATTTCTTACTTCACAACATAAGTGTATAGGAAGCTTCTATTGGGTTTGGGTGATAATGAAAGACGACATTTTTCTATTGTAATCTCGTGTGAAAAGAAATGTATAAAAGCTTTCATTGTGTTTGTTTAATCCCAAGTCAACGTTTGTTTGATCAACCATCTCCCCTTTTATGTTGCATGGTCTTCTCAGTTTGCTTCATTGCCATGAATGCGCATGATAGATTTTCACCCTAGAACCAGAGCTCAAATTGGTGGAGCCTTAGGCCCCGTTCAGCTGGTTGAAACTTGATTGAAACTGACTAAAAAACATTGTTCTGGCTGAATTATTATGAGAAAAAAAACACTGTCCCGTCTGAAAAAACAAGCCGGTTTCTGGGTAAGCCGAACGGGGTTTGTTGCATGACATAACAGGAGCGACCATCATCGACCCAATTGGTGTCAGTAAAAACGCTCCTAAGAGAGGAACTGAACTTTTGAATCCTCAAGCCATGATCAATGGCCCCTTTAATATATCGCAGAATTTGCTTCACAGCCCCACAGTGAACATCAATGAGTCGAGATTGAACTGACAGATCTTATTGATGGCAAAGGAAATGTCCAGCCGTGTCAAGATTAGATACTGAAGGGCTCTGACAGCACTCTCATACAGAAAAGCATCAGTATCACTTAGTGCATGACCAAGGTCACGAGACAATTTATCTTCTGTATATGCAATGGTATAGTATGAGATAAAGCTCCCATCTGCTCTTGTGATTATGTTAGTGGTAAGCTTAATTATGAGATAAGCTCCCATCTTCTATTGTGACTATGTTACTGGCAATCTGCTATGAGAAGTGTTAATCAAATGTTTGTGTTGTCCAGAGTCTAGACCATTTAGCTGTGCAGTTATTCTGGGTTTGCTTCAGAATTACACAAAGCATAGTGGAAACTAGAGTAAGATTAGTCCTTGTTTCGTACAACATGCAGTATGTTTTTAAATATAAATACTGAAGAAAAACCAGCTCCTCATGGGAAATTAGAGTAAGATTAATCTTTGCTTCGTACAACATGCAGTATGATTTTAAATATAAATACTAAAGAAAAAATCAGCTCCTCATGGGAGTCAATGAACGATGACAACAAATTAGTGGTCACAAATCATCACTGTTCTAATCACATTTTATATTTCATCAATCATAACCATGACATTATCGAACAAATGTTCTGTACAACAATCCTGTGAACATCACCTTGACATATAATCACTTTCCATCAGAACTTACAACATTCAACAACACTACAGCACCAAGTTGCAAATCTTACCAATACCTAAAGTAGCAGAACACTAGAGAAACTTCTTCTCAAGCCCCGCAATACAAATGCTACAACGTTTCCGCTGCACCTTCGGAGTTCAAACGAATAATTGTCCTGCTGTGGCTATCGTACACCCAAGCAATGCGCCAGCAATCACCTGGGACCAATTTGGCACCCAAGAATTTAGGAACACATAAAAATGGTAATTCATAAATGTATGCCACAAGAAGATAGTGGCACTGACGAAGCTGCATGATGTTGATAGTAGATAAGCATATCTACATATGTTGCCAAGTAAAATGAGGGCATTGTGATGTGGGGTCGGCCAGTTTGAGGCTCACTTGGTATCCACATAACCATAATGCCAATAAGCCATCGCTTTCATTTTGCCGACAACAATAAAATGCGCTCTCTTGAAAAAACAATAAAAAGGACATTTGAACAAACCTGGGTTGGTGTATGGCCTAAAAGTTCTCGCAGTGGTATTGTTTCAGACAAGGGATGTTCAGAAGGAAGTTCACAAACTATTTGATTCAATACCTAAAAATTAGATAAAACAAAACTAGTTCAACATAAGCACACCACAAATTGTTATCATAGGACATAGAGAGCTAGCACAAGGTTGTTATCAAAACTATTTGATTCAATACCTAAAATTTGGAGAAACAAAATTAAGTTCAACATAAGCACAACACTAATGTCATCATAATACATTGAGAGCTATCACAAGGTTGTAACAATATAGAAAGGCTAATGAACCAACAGATGGCACGCAAAGAGTTATTATATACCTCTGCTTGCTTTCCAGCATGCAATCTGATACCAGAAGCATCGTACATTACCTGCCAAGTCACAAAAAGTAAATTCGTGAGACCTCAAAATTTGGAATTAACAAAAGGAAGTCAGCATAAACGTGTGCACAATATGCCCACATGCAACAGAATAACGTCCAACCCAAAACTGAAAATTGCATCCAAGCAACAACAATATAAATGATAATTTTTCTTCAATCAAGATTCAAGAAGTAAGTAAAACCTCTTCAGAAGAAACATGGGTTGGGATGGAGAACTGATAACCTACCACACTTGCAAATATAGTTGCTGTTGCAAAGAGGGAGCAGTTAAAGCCATCTTGGAATCCAATCGCTACTGCTAGTGCTGTAACCGTGGCAGAATGTGATGATGGCATGCCACCGGAGCCGATAAGCTGCTTGGGATCCCATCTGTTCTCCTTGTACCTTTGTTTGAAAACAAGAACAAATCAAACTTACTGCAGCATGGGAAACTGTATAAACACCTGTTCAGACTTGAACCACAAATTTATTGCCGATCTTCCATAAAGTTTATGCTGATGTATCTATCTACATCAAAACTGTGGAAAAAAATATAAGGAAATAAGCAAGAGACCTTGATACATAATCATTCTTTTGCCAAAATAAAGATCCCATTGGGATCCTATGCCTGTCTGCGCTGTTATAAGACAAACAAAATAGGACCCCCTGTGTTCATCACCATGCCTGGCTTCACTGTTGCAAGAGTTCCTTGACCATCTATCCAGAAATAAGATGAATTCCACAGCCAAAGATCATACTGTTGCCAGGACAGATCAATTGATCAAATGTGGTGTAAAAAACTAGCAAACTGCACTCCATCATTGATCAATTGTGGTGTAAATAACCAGCAAACTGCACTCCATCAATGATCAATGCATTCCAGTCCAAAGGACACCTCATAAAAAAATACACTGGCCCACAATTCTTCCCTAGATTGACCAGATCAAGGCCAATTCTATTTGCTTCCAGCTCAATTCATCAAAACCAGCTAACCAGCAAACTGCACTCCATCAATGATCAATGCATTCCAGTCCAAAGGACACCTCATAAAAAAATACACTGGCCCACAATTCTTCCCTAGATTGACCAGATCAAGGCCAATTCTATTTGCTTCCAGCTCAATTCATCAAAACCAGCGAGAAATGAAAGCAAATCCACCATATAGGATGCTATTACATTCCCAGTGTATCATTCATTCCTCTAGCTGTGAGGGACAAATTCTTAAGCTCGTTTCGGATGTCCAGGAAACGGAACAGTCGAACAATGTAAAGAGGCAGCTTTGACCGACGGAACCGCAGGCGGATCCGACCACGCTCGCGCCCGATCCCAGACCCAAACACAACGGACGGGACGCGAGGCGGGTGAAGGCAGGAAGAGAGGAGAAGGGAATCGGGGCACGGGCGAGGAGCGAGGCGTACCATGTGACGAAGAACTTGATGGACTGCGCGATGGCGAACCCGAGCAGGGCGGCGACGAGGGGGTAGTTGTGGAAGACGGCGAGGTAGGAGAAGCCCCCGGGCGGCGGCGGCGAGGAGGCGTCGTCAGCACCACCGTCCCCATGGCCAAACGAAAGTCCCTGGCTCCTGGACGGGCGGTCCAGCCGGCGCGGCGCTGCCCTGCCTAATCCTGCCTGCCTCTCCCTCCACCACCCACCCCCCCCGCAGCACGTCACGTTACCGGACCGGAGCGCGCGCCCTCCGACTATATATACAGCCTCCGCGATCCGCGGCCGCGCTCTAAAAAGCTCCTCCTTCGCTTCGCTTCCTTCTCGTCTCTCTCCCTGGTCCCTGCCTGCGCTGCGTCGCACGGCTCGGGCTCGCACGCACGCACCGCACCAATGGCGACGGCAGCCCGCTGCCGTATGCTACTATTGCAGGATGCCCCGGATTTGTTTGCTGCTCTGCTCTTGGAGGGAAGGAAGGAGCAGCAACCAGCCAGGCAGATACTCCTCGGATTTATTTGGGTGTGCCGGCGCGGCCTCTCGGCGCGGGGGAGAGCTCAGCTGCTGATTGGAGTGGAAGGGGGAGGGAGGCATCAAAACGGAAGCCTGCTGGCGAATATGCCGATCGGTCGACCTGCGCCCACGGAGGCACGGAGCGATGCAGGAAGAGCTAGCTGCCGTGGACCGTGGTAAGCTTCTGCCATTGGTCCAAATTGTTTTAGCGTACTGTACGTTTATTCTGGCCGGTAGATCCGGCCGGGCTGTCACGTCCCTCCGGCCTCCGCTTTGCGTGATTGCGAAAACAACAAGAAGCAACGGGACCCTTGGGCCTTGGCTTACGGTGCCAAGACGGTGACACTGCTTTGGCGGCTAGCAGGCATGTTGCAGATTGGAAACCTTGAGATCTCAAAAGAAAAAGTTCCGGAGTAGGAGTATCTCTGAATTGCCCATTTAGATGCCACCAGATCCTGATTCATGCATGCGAAACAAACAGCGCAACTGTCAATCTAGCATGTGGATTGGATACAGTAGGTGCATAGGGGAGGAATAGACAGGGACGTGGTGCTCGGGGCCAATAATCTTGCGCGGACAAGACATTTGCTGCCACGCAACGTTCATGATAGTACTTGCACAAAGCTTCACGCATAAACCTGACGAATTGATATCCTAATCGCGACGTGAGAGCGTAGCTCGCCCGCCCGGCGTTTGATCAAGTCGCACAGCCGGAATGGGGTTCGACTTTCCAGTGCATGGTTAGGTCGACAAGTAGAACGTTAGACACCGTTTTATGCTCTCTGTTCAACACACGCCCATAGATCCAGTCCCAACTAACATGAGCTCAAGTTGCAAACCATCCAAAAATCGTTCAGTTATGTGTGTTTTCACTTAAGACAAGCTGACTGAAATATTGCTTTAAACGTCTACAACAGTGGAAATTGCCATTCATCAGAGGTACATCACGGTCAAAATTGTAAAATCACAACTTTGAACAGGCGACCAGGCAAACAGACATGATCTCCGGTTTCTACTATGGGGCTACATAGTGGCTACATGGCCTTTTGGCTGCAACCAGAGCCGACCCAACACCCAAGCCAATCAAGCCAGCTACCAAAATATACATTCACATCTCTTGCACAACCAACAACTACATCTAACCCGTGGCGAGCCTAACCTTTCATTTCGTGATGTAAAACCGGTTATGCGGGGCGCGAGGATTGGTCATCTTCTTCAAGTCCAGGTCCATGCCATCATCGTACTCCTCGTCCTCCTGCGGCTCGGACGCCTTCCTCTGCCTTTCCCTCGCCTCAGCTGCTTCCAACCGCAGCTTCTTGCGGACATAGTCATCATACGACATCTCGCACCATTTCTTCGCGTCGCCGACCACCTGTTGGTTGTGGCGCTCCACGTCCCGCTCCAGCTTAGTCTTCTCGGTGTTCTTGGGTTCTCCCCAGTAGTCATAGCGGTACATTGGCTTTTCCGGGTCATAATAATCCTTCCCATAGACCTCTGTCTCATCTATGTCATATCGCCCCGGGCTCCTCGATAGGAAGACCAAGTGCTTTCCGACTGCAAATCTTTAGGAGTTAGCAAACTGTGCACTAGGTGCGGTGAAATTTGTACAGGTAATAGATTTACCAGCAGATGTCTCTGATAAGGGCTTCCCTTTCTTCAAATGAACGACGCCACTGCATCAGATCATACTCATCCATTTCTTTGTTTCGTCGGAGCTTCCCAACTTTGTATTCCTCTCCTCTTTCCTCGGCTTCCTTTTTCAGCTTTTTTATTAGCTGCGCCGATTAAAGTTCAGTATGGAATGGCGAAAGATTAAAGAAATATTGTCAGTGTATGTAAAAAGAGGTACCTGGCGTTCAGCACTAGCGGCATCCAGATCAAGTTCTTTGACGCTTATATTCTAACAAAAGAGGTCAGAGCAGGATGCCATTAGGGGATAAATCTATTTGCAACTAACAAGCTGCAAAGATCCAAATATGGTAATCAGGGGCTACAAAGATTACATACCACAACTTTCTTTTTTAGCAGTGTTTCTTTGAAATATCCTTCAGTGTATTCAACTCTGTTTTCTTCATCAATTGAGGATGAATCAACTGTGGACTCATATGTTGTATCCTTGAATTTATCTGGATTTTGTTCCTCGTAGTCTAAAATCATCTGCTCTGCATTATGCCATTCCCAAAGCTGCAAAAAAAGAATAAAGAAAGAAACTTAACTGACAAACCTATTTGATGGGAATGCAAGAAACTAAGATGCAAAAGCCACAACATGATGCAAAATAATATATACGAAGCATGAGGCATATGATTGTGATTCATGGAGAATACCGTATCAACAAAAGGATGGTCTGATACCAAAGGTTCCTTTTCCATATCTTTTAAAGGTTTTTCCTAGGAATGGGTGGCCGTCCAGCTTCACGCTGTCAGTTCATAAAAGGTTAGATGGACACACCAGTATAAGATCTAAAACAAATATTAGAAAACTGAACCAAATAGAAGTTAATTCGCACCCACAACTGCTCTAGGTTAGTATCCTCCTTATGGTGAAATATTGGTGGGAAGTCGAATCTATTAAATCTGCAGTCAGAAAGGAAATATCACATTGGAATAAACTGAAGCGCGGGATACGGCAACTGGCATTAATATTCATATTACCAGAACTGAGCAAGCAATGACAATAGTGGTACTCACATTAGGTGATCAATGTTAGGATATACAAATCGCATCTCAAGTGGGAAGCGGAAGCGGTAAGGGTCTCGTTTGGCCTGCACAGAAATTGATAGATATTACTAAAGCCGATCTACTGAAGATGCATAGACTTCCATGTGTACAGAATGTTCTAAAAAAAATGAGAGAATGAACAAAAGATGCACTTTAGTCAATGTAAAAGCATTTCCTTTATAATACTGAAACCAGATGTCCTTAAATCACTCACTGTACATGTGGATTTCGCAAGATCACTTACCAGAATCTCCACATAGACTTTCATGCCAGGCTTGATGTGATGCCGGATCCAGTACCAGTCATTTCCTTTTATCGGCACCCACCTAAAAGCATCACAAGTTGTAAATTTCAACAAGGTAAATAGCAGATGATGTCTTAGCAACTAAGCTAAATTAAAAATCTAGGGTAAAAGACAGAGTATCCTACAAGGCTACAAGTGCAAAATTAAGAAGCTTGCCAGGCTTGTCTATTGTTGAAAGGTGGAGAGTGCTGATTGGATCTAGATTATGTGTTGAATGTTCTGTGCTAGTTTTCAAGCGTGCTTAATAATCTGAAGTGGGGCAGTTTCCAGTACACAGCAGAAAAAAGGTATGGTAACAAGAAAACATGACACCCAAAATTCAGACATGTGCATGGGAAGGCACAATTTGTAGTATACCATAAACAAAAAAAGTTGTGTTAGCCTACAATAAGGAGAGAGTTGGGATAATAATTCATGGTCTGCCTTTTGCTAAATTAAGTACATTAGGCTCATTGTCATGCAGCAGAATTCAATGTACATACCCCTCATGGACACAACCGATGTTCACAAAGGCTCCCTGATAGAGGTGAACAGTTGTTACTTGGCCGTAACAGATCTGCAAGAGCATCAAGCCATTCAAAAAATGGTTAGAATGAAATGGACTAGCTAAGAGAGAAAAAAAAGATGAAGTAGAGTTGTTCCAACAGAACCTGTCCAGGATAGTAGAATGGAAGTTCATGCTGCATCAGAGCAAACAATACATCAGTACCTTAAAGAAACGAATCACAAAATGTATGGGACTCATTCAAGAGCTGAACCTACCATATCTTCACTGTAGTTCTTACCTCTTTTTCGTCTGCCAGGGAAGTAATCCTGATCAAACTGCACAATGGAAATAGCCCAGGTTTAACATTACATGATCGCAGAGGAACACTATAAATACTCGATGGGATGGCGAGACAGACACAAAGTAATTCTATTCAATTAAGCACACAATTTTTTTTATAATTCGACGGGATGGGAGTGAATCCCCCACCTGGTAGATATATTGATTCATTGGCTCTCAATCAGCCTGATAGTTTACAAACATTATAGATACATGGTATGCTTAATTGTTACATAGCATTAGCTAGCTCGGAGCACCAGTTGTAGGCGATGGCTGCATCTTCTCTCGGCATTAAGGACACAAATGACAAGCAAAACTAGCTTCATGATTTGTTAGATGATCATAAAAAGGATGTTCCCCATTAGAATTAAGCAGTAAGCACTAAGCATTGCAATATTATCACTAGAGTTACTCGACTATACCTGGTAGGACTCCTGCTCCAACCTATCTCGGTTTGCCTCCACCCATTCCTTGTACTGCTTCAGGAACATTTTGTACCTGTCTAGCGCCAGATCCTGTGGCGCATCCTCCAGCTTCTCCACGTTGGTCACCCCGGCTGCGGCCGCCGCCTCCATGTCCAGCCTCTCAGAGGCCTCCCTGTGCGCCTCCCTTATGAACTCCAGCTCGTCCGGGTCCACCTTCCAGCCAGGCGGCGGCCAGTCCCGCGGCGGCACGAGCCGCAGCGGGAGCCGGCCGGCCCACGTCGTCTCGAGAGGCTCGGGCGTGTCGCGCGTCGCGAAGAGGCGCTCCAGGTATCCCGGCTCAGCCTCCACCTTCTTCCGGTAGGAAGGCGTGAGCATGCGGAAGGCCTCGAGGGACTCCGGCGACTGAAGCGGCACCTCCTCGCCCTCGTTGAGGCTGTGGCGCGCAAAGGCGACCTCCGGGGTCATGATTTCCTCCCATGGCGCCCATCCGTGCTCCACCCAACTGCGGCGGCGGGCGACCTCCTCGGGCTCAGTGTTCTTGATACTGATTGAGGGGATGACCGGTGGGTCCGCGGCGGGGGTCTCGTCGGGGGGCGAGGGGTTGATGGACGCGGCGAGGCGGCGTCTGAGAAGTGTCTTGGGGCGGAGGCTAGGAAAGGGGAGGTGATGGTGGAGGAAGGTAGCGGCGGCCGGCGGGGTGGTCGCCATTTTTGTTGGGTTTTGGGAGCTCGGACCGGTGGCCGTCGCGTCGCGGGGTTTAAGGGAGCCGAGGCGTGGGAGGATAAGGTTCGGGTGGTGGCCCACATGTCGGTGAAGGGCGTGAAAATCTTTGTCCTTGGAATGTAGTACTCCTACATTACAAATTTACACAAATTATATGTTTGTCAGTGTCAATGCTATTTCTCTCAAATTCTGTCAACTGAAAATCTGTGAAACCACTAGAATCGGACCGTTCTGTCAAATGAAAAATCGTTAATTCATTAGAATTGGACCTGAGTTGATTGATCCTATAATAATGATGACAATTGAATGGATGACGATGATGAAGCTTGAAGGACCGGTTAAAGCAAAACTCAAGTACGACGTCTCATACTTGAGTGGAGGAGTCTAATGTATTTAGTGCTACCTAGCCCCTAGGTTCTGCATGTCTCATGCTTCGAGGAGTCTACAAGGAGCATGAAGTATGTACTTAGGCCGGGTTTAGTTTCCAAAAAAATTCACCTTAAACTATCACATCGAATCTTGCGGGTACATGCATAGAGTATTAAATATAGATGAAAAAAAACTAATTACACATTTTAGTTGGAAATCGCGAGACGAATGTTTTAAGACTAATTAGTCCATAATTAGCCATAAGAGCTACAGTAGCTAACATACGCTAATGATGGATTAATTAGGCTTAATAAATTCGTCTCGTAATTTTCAGACGAGCTATGTACTTAGTTTTTTTATTAGTATCCGAAAATTTCTTCCGACATCCCCGAACATCCGATATGATATAAAAAATTTCATTTCACGAACTAAGCGCAGCCTCAGGGCGTCCTCAACGAAGAGTACAAATAGCTGGCAGACGTGGAGGTTTAAAATAATTAAAAAAATATAAAGCTGCCTAAGTGCTCAGAGTATGGTACATATGTCAGAGACACAAAACGTTTCGAGAGTCATGCGAGATAGGCTACTGAAGACTCGCTAGTGCGGTGATTTTAGTTAATTCTCTCTCTTTCTCATTAGGTAAGCTCCGTACGCTGTCCAAATCGTCGACCATTGAGGGCGCCCTTTAGTGCTACCTAGCCCTAGGTTCTCCATGCTCCGACGCAAAGAGATACATAAAAACTGTATGAAAATTCTATAAAAAATATAAATCATATGATGCAATGACTTGTTCATGTGAAGTTTAAGGTAAAACAAATTGTGTGCAAAGAGGAGAGAGGAAAACTACAATGTAAATCGGTGTAATTTGTAGATCCAATGAACCATGGATCCCTTTTTATGTGTTTAAAGTTTAGGATATAAGATATGTATCAGTCAGGTGTTACAATCGCTCCCGCATGGTCGACTTAGAGGTGGAGGTGTAGGATATGTATCTTCTTATTAGTAGCGTACAAAATTTATTATATTGTCTTCTGCTGCACTACTTTGACACATTAATGTTTTGGTAGTATTCTACGTACAAAGTGATGGCCATAGATGTAGGACATATTTGGTTAGTACTTATACAAGTTTGTCTGGCTAGGAATTACTTCGGACTCATTAATTTTGAGTGCCTGGTGGCTAGAATCATTGTCGAATAGGTCGTGTCGTAAACCAAATAGGCCTATAATGTTCTACTCCAAATGTAATATAGAGACTCGACCGTAAACCAAACATGCCATGTTCTATTTCAGATGGAATATCGAGTCGCTATATTTCCTCGACTATGGAGTCGCTATATGTGACTTTGATTTAGTTGGACACTTGGACATGTAAGTAGAATAATATATATCTATTATTTAGAAAAGTCAGAAAGACGGACAATTGAGGGAGTATATATAATACATGGGATTTGACTAGAAGGTGTTTCATAATTCTCATTTTTCCCTCTTTGGAGGATTTGGATGGTTTAGTTTCTTGTTGAGAGGGAAATGACGTCGATTTTCATCAAACGGCTACGCGTACAAAAGTTCCCTCCAAATCCAGCCGTCCACGCGGAAACCACCGACCAGATCTCGCATATCTTCGTGACCTCCGCTCGCTGAGTTGCTGGCTCGGCCGCTGCTACCGTTCGCTTGTCTCTCTCGCCGCCCACTCCGCCACTCGGAAACCTCCTCCCCGACGACCCTCCCGCCCCCCCCGCCCCCCCCCGCGCGGCCGGCCCCTTCTCCAGAACCTTCTAGAACCCTGAACCCATCGGAGCTCCGGGATGGAGCCCAAGAGACGAGAGCGCCGGGTCGTCGCCATCGCCGGTGCGGCAGCGCTCGTCGCCGTCGGCCTCAACATCGCCTTCTCCGCCGTCGCCGCCCACCGTCGGAGGAAACGACGAGGTGAACGTCGCAAAACCCTCGGTCTTCGCGTTTGAACTCAAATCCCATCCGATGCTCTGAAACTGAGCAACCTTGCACTGACCCGTCCATTGTTTTGGTTCAATCTCGTACCAATGTAGCATATAGATACAGTGATTGGTGTTTGCTTAACACGGTCCGATTGCTTTGCCCTTCAGCGCTACATATACTTGCCGCGTGAACTTTGTATTCATGCGTCTATTGTTTGAAATGTTACAATTAAAGCTAAATGATAATTCTTAGGTATGGAATTTTGAAAAATTATCGATGTGTGTATTTGAATTTTGAGTGGTTGCAGAGCTTCCAGGGTTTACTGCTCAAGCCAACCTTTCAGCTGCTGAGATTAAAAGAATAGCTGACCGTATCATCTCTAAGTCAAAGGAAACATACGATTCAGTGGCTGCAGTGCCCCTAGATAAAGTATGTATGCAACTCTTTATGCCACTGCATTTTACTAATTGCACTGTTTTGTGGAATGTGGCATTTATAGAAACCCATACAGGGCTTTGGGCTTGTGATTTGATTTATAGTCTTCTATAGCTATAATATTCAGACAACCATATACTTGTAGGGAAGTATACATATGTTTGCAGCATGCTGGTTCTTAGAAAAATACAATTTGCAATGAGCATATACAGGCCTCAGATCTGGAGAATTTTCTAACGGTTGCATGTTGTATTTTGTAGGTCAGTTTTGCAAATGTCATTGCACCATTGGCAGAATTAGATGTGCTGCAATTTCCTCTGGTTCAAGCTTGTGTTCTTCCTAGGATGGTATCACCATCTGAGGATGTTCGCAAGGCAAGTGCTGAAGCAGAGAAGCTGTTGGATTCCCACTTTGTGCTGTGCAGGTGCAATGTTGCCAATGTTGCCACTTATTTCTTATTGTTCACTTGGATGTAGTAGTAATGTATGTTCCCTAACTGATATTAGTGTAGGATTAGGTACCATTGTCAACTAACATGAACTGGTATTGTACAAAACAAAATTATGCAAATAGCTTGTAGCTTGGTATCTGTGTTACTCTTACTCATATTATTTGCTTGGCCTGGTGAGCATCTGTGACATAATCTCAGTGAGCCATCCATCATGTTGTTTTGTAAAATCTATGAAGTAATGCATATTCTGTAAAGTTTATGAAGTAATGTATCATTTCTTGCGAATAACAATAGGATGTGAGGTTCCCTTTCTTCTATCTCGCCAATGCAACGATTTGCTGAACATGTATTTGCTGCAAGGTGACCAGGCAGCGTGAAGATGTTTATCGTGTCATAAAAGCATTCACAGTGAAAGGCGAGAGAATAGGTCCTGAAGCAACAAGATTTCTCCACTCCTTGGTACAGAATTCTTTTGTTACATGTACAATTGAATGTACTTAGATATGCACTATGTCTAGATACATAGTAAAAAACAATGCATCTAGAAAAGCCAAAACGTCTTATAATTTGGAATGGAGGGAGTACATGTGATGATTTGGTGCCAACGCTTTAACCCTGAATATCATTTTCTTAATTGTTGTATCCTTATTTATTTTGAGATAAACATACATCATGTAGGTCAACTGAGTGTTGCAGAAATGCGTATGTTGCAATGGATTTGTGGTCACACAAGAATGGACTGAGTTAGGAACGATGATATATGTGACCGCCTAGGAGTAGCACCAATTGAAGAAAAGCTTGTCCAACATCGGTTGAGGTGGTTTGGCCATGTCCAAAGGAGACCTTCAAAGGCACCAGTGCACTGTGGAGTCCTAAGCCAAGCTAATAATGTGAGGAGAGGTAGAGGTAGACCGAAATTGACATGGGGGGAGGCAATAAAAAAAGATTTGAAAGCTTGGGATATACCTAGAGATCTATGTTTGAATAGGAGTGCTTGGAAAACAGCTATTGATGTGCCTGAACCGTGACTAGGGGCTCTTGGTGGGTTTCAACTCTAGCCTACCCTAACTTGTTTGGGACTGACAGGCTTTGTTGTTGTTGCTGTTGTTGTTGTATACATCATGTAGGTATAATCTGGCTCCTGACTGGTCTTGTAACATGCTCATCTACTGCATCTTCTCTTACGCTGACGTGTCTTTGTGTCTGCAGCACCCATTGTCCCATTCTTCTTGAACTTGAATTTCTGATTTATTTGTTAGCATCAGAGATGAAAGTAAACCATAGAATTAATTGATTGTAAAGTTACTGGAAGATAGGTGATGTGTCTTGCTATTGTATTATTTGCAGTTTGTATAAAAACGATTTTGCGAATTGGTTTGGCTAATCAGTGTCGTTTTGTTGAATTGTCTAATTATGATTAAACAGGTGAAAGAGTTTGAGCGTAATGGAGTTAAACTATCTCAAAGCAAGAGAAAAGAAATGGAGAAATTGAAATCTCATATGGATGCATTAAACCTGAAGTATCTACAAAATTTGAATGATTTCACCAAATTCCTTCTTTTAGGTGAGGATGAGCTAGCTGGAATGCCCTTTGATTTCCTAAAGGTAAGCCAGAGGGTAAGGTTGAATCAAGCATACCTTTCAGAAGTACAATAAGCAATCCTTAGAAGGTTCAATAATCTTTGCTTTCTTTGTGCTTGAACAGAAGTTTGAGTGAATGAAAAATATGATATTATTGCTTTCTAATCCTCTTTTACCCAAACTCTTCAACTCAGGATCTGGAAAAAGCTGATGGAAAGTTTAAGGTTCCGTTGACCAGTTACCATGTTACTCCAATTCTTGAGCACTGCAAGGTCAGTTCCCTGTCTTAAGCTTTATCACACCACTCCACATTTCATAATTATGATTAATGTACACTTGGCTGTTTTATGAGCTTTGTCCACTGATTTGACAGGGATAGCCAGTAATATTGTATGTTGTGGGATACTCTTTTTTCTTATTTTCTTTATGCTAGAAAGTATGCTGTTGACCAATTGCAATGTATATTTATGCAATCAAGTTATGTATGGACTGGATGTCAACTAGTTGCATCTTTTCAAGGTTGGCTCTACCAGGAAGCAGATTGCTGTCGCTTATGGACAGAAAGGTGGGAAGGATAATCTAGCCATCCTAGAAAATTTGGTAACCACAAGTGCCCATCTCCACTGTAACTTCATAGCAATTGGTGTTTTCTATCGCTGATTTCACCTTATCTCACAGCGTCTGTTACATTTGATTATTTTGCAAGTGTAGGCAGGAACCCTGGAACTGACATGTTGCAGTTTCATCTTCTATGTTTATTCAGGTTCAGCTAAGACACAAGTTTGCTAGATTACTGGGGTACACCAACTATGCTGATTTTGCTATTGAGCCCAGAATGCCAAGAACTTCAAGGAAGGTTTGTGCTTTTCTGCTAGGAAATCTGCTTGATTATTTCGTTTTAGCTAAATCTGCTTGGTGAAACACGTTTTCAATATCAAACTTGGTAAAAAAATTTCAATCCTGGTCTAGTCAGCTCGCTGGCAAAATGTTGTTTCATGCTTTTCTTTCACGCTAGGAAAATAACAGATGTCAAAGTGTTTTCTCCTGCAGGTCTTAGAGTTTTTGGAAGAGATGTCAGAACAATTAAGTGATGTAGCTAATAGAGCTCAGCTTACTCAAAGACCTTAAGGTTTTATGAAAGCTCCTTTTTGCTCTGCTAATTTTTCCATCGATCGAACTCTTTCATTACTAATCAAATTATTGCTAACGATTTTCTGATTTCAGATCAAGGAGGAAGGAAATGCTCAGTTCGGAATGGAAGATTTATTGTACTACATCAAAAGAGCTGAAGAATTCAAGGTTGATCTTGACATTGGTGAAATTAAACAATACTTCCCTGTTAGCCTGGTCATATCTGGAATGTTGAAGATGTTTCAGGATCTATTTGGTAAAATGTTAGCCATGAACTAATGCACTAGAAACCTCTATTTTTATAAGGTATGAGCACAGATGTATTTTCTGCTAATTCTTTTTTTTTCTTTCATGAAGCACTACGATTTGATGAAATTAAGGATGTGGATGTTTGGCATGATACAGTTCGTGTGTTTTCTGTTTGGGATGCAAGTTCAAGTGATCTTTTGGGTTACTTTTTTCTCGATATCTTTGCCAGGTTTGTTCTGAAAGCATGCTAGCGAAGCTTGAATGATTTTCAAGGTTTCATGATATGTAAAACATGTTTGATGATTAGCTAGAAATGCTGAAAGTCCATTGGTTTTCATACAAGAAATACATTACAAGTTGCTCTCGCTGCCTTTTCTTTCGCCCTGTTCATCATAATTGACAAAATTTATATTAGGGAATCCAACATTTGCAAGGAGAAAATAGACTCAATAATGCAGATGCAAAACACATTAAGGAACACCACATAAGACACCATTCCAGTACACATAAAACAGGGTTATTTAATTGGCTACCCTATTTTGCTTCAAGGGAAGGGAAGTATACCCACACTTGCGTTGTTACACTTCAGAATGGATGCTTGTGTTCTAATGGTACGCGTAAGGTAACTCAAAAATCTCATGCATATTATACAGTGCAATCAGAGTATGAATTTCTTGTTAGAATCACTGTAATTCAAATGATTAAATTAACATTCTCTTGTAACCACAAAGGTTTTATATTGAAGCAAATTTAACAGGTGATCTAATACAATCAAATTGTTAATTAAAAGGTCAAAGTACTTGTTCTCTCACATACTCACAATATCTATAATCTTTGGGAAGTACTTCTGTAGCCTGCTTGAGTGGTTAATTATTCATGGTGTAATTATTGGTTGGTTGCTGAGTGCTTACAGGTTCCGGCTGCTGTGATATTATCTCAATGTCCAAAAGAGCTTGATGGGAATTCAGCATTACTGCGGTTCCCTGAAGTCGTGAGGCTATTCCATGAATTTAGCCATGTGGTATTGATATCAATTTTCTCTATTGGATTCTGACAAAGTATAAATATCCTGGCATTTGTTGACACTAAATGAATAGATGTACTGATTTCATTATCCTGCAGGTCCATCACGTATCCAACAGAGCCACCTTTTCAAGATTTTCAGGTCTTCGACTGGAGGGTGACTTCACTGAAATTCCAAGCCTACTACTCGAGAATTGGTAGGCATAATTCTTTTCTTCAGTAATGTACCGATTACCAACACTTGTTTAATCCATTGGAAGCTGATGTTTCTGATATGTAAAGCAACCTTATCATCTCAGGTGCTATGAGAGTATTTCTCTGAAAATGATGTCCGGCTTCCATCAGGTGGTGCAAATTTAGCATATGATGTTTACGTGTTGGCATTATTATCCTACCTTGCATATTTTCAAGGAAAAAAAATAAAGATGTAAGAGAAATGGTCACTGGTCAGTCTAGTAGATGGAACTAATTTCATGAATAAAAACAAAATATTTGTGACCTTGCATGGGTGAAGAATCCTTGGTTACTGAGTAATCAGGATATGATCTGGAGACCAACACTTATGTTTTTCGAGTGAACTTAATGACACACCAAAAACATGTTAATGTTGTATTGCGATAATTATTTGATACTTTTATAAGTTCTTGTGAGCCATCTGAGACTTGTTTAAATTAGTGCTAAAATTTTTCTCTGTTTTTATTATTGTTATGTTGTAGGACATTACAAAATCCATAACCAGTGAAGCTTGCCAATCTCTGAAAAGAAGGCGTGATTTATTTACTGGCCTGAAAATGAAACAAGAGATCCTTTTGTGTGAGTCATTTTGCTACCTACCAAATGAAATAGAGTGAGAGTATTGTTCCTCAAATGTGTTATCTAGCTCTGAAACTCCAACAAAATGTAATGAGGTTGTGTCCTACTACTGTTTGACTGACACCAGCCACCTGAATTTGGCTGTCTTTTCTTGTCCTCATCACTTCATTCTCTTACTTTAGTGAACAGTATATATATTAACTATCTGCCCAATCTCTGTTCTGCTAGTAGATACTGGTAACACAAATTACTCCTTTTTTCCCACCTGTTCTCTGAAACAAGATCCTACTGTTAATTTGTCCGGCAAAACCAACCTAATTGGTACTTGTCAATTATAGACAGCTTGATTTGTATCCTATTGTTATCTCATGTTTATTAATTAGTAAGAAATTTGAATTCAATGTAGTAAATTATGTATTGTTTCACTTTTACTAGGCCTTGTTGATCAGATAATACATTCAAGTGAGGATGTGGACATTGATGACTTAATCAAGGATCTTCATCCCAAGGTACACTTGGAATGACTGCTTTACCGTCTCTGTTACTCCCTCCATTTCAAATTATAGGTTGTTTTGGTTTTTTATATATCTAGACATAATGTATATCTGAGTGCATAGTAAAAACTATGTACCTAGAAAAGGCAAAACGACTTATAATTTGGGATGGAGGAAGTACTTATGATGACCAATTAAGGCAAATGTCCCTTTTCCAGGTAATGCTGGGTATACCTTTATTGGAAGGGACCAGTCCAGCTTCATGTTTTCCTCGTATTGTTTTTGGCTATGATTCTGTGTGCTACAGTTACATATGGAGTGAGGTTTGATCAATACAAATCCTAAGCCATATTGCTTCCATCATATATTTGGAGAGAGTAGAATAACACTTTCTCTGAACTATGCAGGTGTTTGCTGCAGATCTTTTTGTATCAAAATTTAAAGACGACTTGCTCAATCAGCATGCTGGATTGCGGTTCAGAAATAAGGTAATTGCTAATTGCTAATGTGCCCTCCTTGCATGCTCATGTGAATTGTTACAAAATGCTTACGTCACTGCAGGTGTTGGCTCCAGGAGGCTCAAAAGATCCCCTGGAGATTATAACGGACTACCTAGGAAGAGAACCATCACTCCAACCTTTTATTCAGAGCAGAAAAAGGAATAGTTTGTGAGGGATCATTTATGATGTAACCATTAGAGTTTTTTCTTTTTTGAATGTAGCTATTGAAGGTCAGCTTATTGTCGTGAGTTCTTTCTTTCTTTTTTTTCATAAGATAAGAGATTTCGGACATCATTTGTTTGACCCTTTAGTTAAGCTGGAATACAAAAGATGTCCCTAGATTCTGCTCGGACCATCTTTTCCTAACCTTAGCATACTTTCAAGCTTTCAGCTAATGCCCCTGAGCACGTGAATCAAGTAAGATTGTACAGGAAGTTAGAAATAAGAACTTGAACTTCAAGTCTGTTGGTGTAAGCACGAAGCACGTCTTTTAAAGGTTTTGCTTTAAGAAGACTGGAAATTAAAGTTAATAACTGGATGAAAACTTGGCATACACACAAAACTCACTTTCATTAAACATTTACGAAGCTTACAGAACGAGGAATAATACCAGACTTTAGTGCACACCAATATAGGTAATACCGTAATAAAACCTCATGGAAATGCAAAATACAGAATTCAACAAAAAAAGATGCACCTGATATACGCCACATGGAACAATATGAACGATCAGGTTACATGTGTGGAGCTCAAGTGCTCAATGCTTCACAACTGGGACCACTGAGATTGATATTTCTTCTAAAAAAATGGTAACCTCAAGCACCAGTAATTCCATAATACACAAAGGGCACAAAAGGAATGAAAGAATTGAGCTCTACAAGGGGAAGAGTAACTTTTGATTACAGTCTACAACTATGCACACTACATTCTTCCACAAAAATCACTGAAGGATTCAGTACTCGCATTAAGCTAACTGGTTACTTGACTGTAATCCAGCATCCCTCTTTGCACCAGTTGAAAAGAACACGTTGATGCTTCCCTGTAAAGGGCCTATTTCACAATGCATGATTTTTGCTACAGCTAATATGAGAACTCGTGCCCTCGGAGGGAGATATATTTCTTCATCCATATGGCAATATCCTTGGCACAGGCATGTGCCTGTGGTGTTTTTAGGAACACATCCAGGGTTGCAAACTCGTGAACTGTATCCTTGTAGTCAAGAACCGGCGAGTCAACATTAACCTTGCGGAGTTCCTCAGAGTAAGCGATTGCTCGATCCCTCATCCAGTCATGCTCGGCAATAACTGTCAAGGTCGGCGGCATGCACTTCAGTGGGGGGCCTCCTCTGCCAGGCGCCAGAGGGTTGGCAGCAGGGTGGTCTAGGTTGAACTCTTTCTCTGACAAAAATAATCTCCAAGCAAGTAAACATGTGGACTTGTCATAGAAGTATGAGTTCGCAAGCCTTATTTCCGAGTGTGTCGGAACACTCCCTATGAAAAAGGGATACATCAGAACTTGTGCAACAACCTTAACTGGGTCAAATGGTTTCCCATCTTCGACCACCTTCCGAGTGACATAATCAGCAATATTTGCACCACAGCTTGCACCAAGTAGAACACATCTGCACCAAGGAACACATGATAGTCAAATTCCAGTAAACCAATATAAAACAGTTAGCACAAAAAGGAACTTCAACAGCTGGTAAACCAATATAAAACAGTTAGCACAAAAAGGAACTTCAACAGCTGACTGGATGAAGTAGCTAGCAATGGCATAAACGTTAATATGAACCAAAAGAGTCACAAGAGTGGATACAGGAAAACGGTAACTCATTGATCCAAAGAAAGCAGAATTTAAGGGATTTGCTCAAGTGAAGCTCCCTTATATATGGTGTTATGCAAACACAGTGACGGTGTTTCGAGTAAACACCAACGAGTAAATTTGTATTATTACGCGTTTGGCTTGGATGGTGTGCTAAGAGGACACAAGGATTATACTGGTTCGGGCCGAATGTCCCTACATCCAGTTTCGGGCTACTCGTGTTACCAGCACTGAGTTTGTAGTATGGAGTTACAAACTGGCGAGAGAGGGACATGTTCCAAGTCTCTGGTGAAAAGATCGAATGAGCGCCGAGAGCTCGGTCGCTGCTCAGCTGTGTGTTCGAGGATCGATGCTCGTAGTTCTGATGCGACGTGGTGTGATATGCGATGCCCCTTAGTGGGACGCCCTACTTTCCCTTTTATAAGCCAAGCGGAAGCAGGAGTTACAACCAAAGGGAAGAGGACAAAAGAAAGAGAAATAAGGCCCCCGGAGGTGTGCCGTCCTCCTCTTCGCGTGGGGTCCCACTGACCCTGTAGATCGTGGTGGCAGCGGCGTCGTACCGGGGTCTTGTTGCCCGCTGCAGCTTACGTACGGGCGTCGTGCGCCGTTCTTGTCTTCCGTCCCATCCGAGCGGACGGAATGGTCAGAGAGTCCCCTGACAGAGGCCATATGGGGGGCTGGCAGTATAGTGCCAGTCAACTGACACCGGTCGACTGACGTTGGACGGTGGTCAGGCAGGGAGTTGGCAGCACAGTGACCACTCGTCCGTTACTATGGGCGATGTGAGTTCCCCGAAATGACATGTTGTGGGGACGGGTCGTGCTGAGATGTGACCGCTCCCTGCATGATGCCAGAAGTTTGACCTTGAGTAGTACTTTCTGGCTTGTAGTGGTTGGCAGCGACGTGAGCCTTCGTTAGGAACCGTGTCCACGGGATCGAGCGAGGTGGAACCAGCCCTCAGACGTCGGCCAAGGCGGAACCGACCCTCGGGGGTCGGCCGATGCGGAGCCTACCCTCAGGAGTCAGCCGAAGCGGAATCGGCCCTCAGACGTCGGACGAGGCGGAGCCAACCCTCGGGGGTCGGACGAGACTGAGCCAACCCTTGGAAGTCAGCCGAGGTGGAGCCGACCCTCGGGGGTCGGGCGAGGCGGAGTCCGCGGCCTCAATGTCCACCGAGGCGGAGCCAACCCTCGGGGGACAGACGAGACGGAGCTCATGTCCTTGGTGGTCAGTTGAGGTCGAGCTCAGCAAGAGGTGTAGTCGCACTCTTGACCGCTCGGATGAATCAACATTGATGGTTATTAGCTCCTCCTCTTCGGGTACCCTAGTATTGGTCCCCGATAGTAGCCCCCGAGCCCTCGGGCGATTCGGGTAGAATCACCTGAGGGTTTTTTTCGACTTGCTAGTGGGTGCGTGCGAGCGCACCCAGTGGGTGTAGCCCCCGAGCCTGCGAGGAGTAGAATACTCCTTCGGAGCTTTTTCGAAAGGGAGGACTCTGAGGGCCCTGGCCTTCTTTTGTCGCCCACAGCGTGTCCTGGGAACGGTGATTCCTTCTTGCCGAGGTCGAACCCTTTGCGGGTATGGCCGTGAGATTTGGTGGTTCGTTAGCTGGATAGTTCGATTGGGGTCCTGGCATTCTGTTTCACAGGGATCCAGCTAGGGTCAGCCTGGCGGAGACTCGATCGTGGACCGAGATGCCCGTGGCGCTTATGCGCCTGGGTACTGGCCGCTTACGGTACTCATCCCTTTCCATCCCTTATCGTAAGGGTGCCTGGATCGGCTGTCGAACCCGTTGATGGGCCTACCATCAAACTCCTGGGCCCAGACGGGCTGTAGAGGTGTTTTTTTTATCCGTATTCCTCTTACTCGCAACAAGTCGTGGCCTGCCCGAGGAGGTGAAACGTTCAGCGAGTCTTTCAAGGGAAAGGATAGGGATTGCGTGCGCATATCCCGCGGCGTGACGTTGTGGCAGATCATGGCAGGTGCGGAGATCTAGGCGGACGGTTGGTTTCCTCGCATCTGTCGCCCTATAAAACCAAAGGGTTCGCCCCCGGGGTTTCATACCTTGCCTTCTTGCCTTGGCATCTGCAACCTCCGCCACCAATCGCCTAGGCTTCCTTCATCCACGTCCTAGCCGCCGTCGAGCTCACATCCACCCATCCCCATCTTCCAATGGATCTGTGGTGCCGCTCTGACATCACCTTCCAGCGCATGGAGAGCCTCGTCCATCGCGATCTTCTCTGCGCGGACCACAGCCGAGGAGTGGCTGCTGCTCGACGAGGAGGACATGCCATCGCCGCCCGACGGCTACGTGGTGTCATTCGCGTACTTCCATGAGCGTGGGTTCGCTACCCCTACTCACGGATTTCTTCGGGGGCTACTGCACTACTACAAGATTGAGCTGCAGCACCTAAATCCCAACGAAATCCAGCACATAGCGGCGTTCGTCGCCCTGTGTGAGGGATTTCTGGGGATTAGTCCCCACTTTGATCTATGGCGGTACTTCTTCACCGTCGCCCTCCAGAAGAAGAGGGAAAAGAGCAACAAGTAGGAGTTGCATACACCGATGGGATGCGCCGGCATCCACCTCTGGAACAACCGGGGCGGTGAGTACCCGGCGATGCAGCTGTTGACCTCCAACAAGGGGTGGCATTCGCAGTGGTTTTATCTCAAGAACGACGCTGCGGCCCCCTTGCCGGAGTTCACCGGGCGCCTAATCAAAGAGGCCCTAGATTCGTGGAGGAAGTGGGGTGTCCCGGAGAAGGACAAGAAGAAGATCCAGGACCACCTCGCCGCCATCGGCATCCTAAAGAAGAGGGGCCTGAAGGGGTCGGGCATCATCGGGGCCTACCACGCGAGGAGGGTTGCGCCGCTGATGAGGCACGCGCTTCCGCACACCATCTTCGTAAGTTTCTATCCTCATGCCTCCTCTTTAATTGATCTCTTGACCCCCTGACACTAACATTGAGATGGGGGGACCAGCCGAGGGACCTCATCCTCATGGATCACCCGGCTCCGCTGCCGAGGGATTCGTCCATGAGGGTGGCGAAATGTGCCGAGGGTGAGCGGCTTAGGAAGGCAAAGGAGGACAAGAGGAAGAAAAGGCAGTGGAAGCTGCTTGTGCGGGAGCGAGGGGAGGACACCGACAACGATGACGACGATGATGAGGAAGACGACGACAAGGTAGTTGACGACATCGAGCGGGATGATCTGGAGAGCGAGGATGTGCTGACGGGTATCCACTCATCTTTGCAGGAGTTGGGGCCCTTCCTGTTCCATGGAGGGGAGGGTGCGTCCGTGGGGCCGATAGAGACAGGCCAGACCATCGGCCTGCCCTAGGAGCCAATAGGGGCGGGCGAATCTGCCGTCATGCCTGAGGTGCCAGTGGAGGTGGGTGGCTCCGCCGTCGTGCCCTAAGATGCAAGGGGAGTGAGCCCCTCTGCCTAGGAGTAGGGGGTGGGCTCGAAATGGCCCTGCCCCAACGAGGTGGAGCAGGGGTCTGGGGGTTCGTCCCCCAAACATATCCGCTGCTCAACAACGCCAATGTAAGTCACCAGCTCCTCTGTTTTTCTCTATTTTCATCGTGATTTATGCTTTTCTTTCTTCACAGTGTCGTGAAGCGGCATAATCCTTTGGCGTTGACACCAAAGAAGAGCGTCGCCCTTCAAGCAGGGAGGCAGACGTCGGTTGGCGCCACGTCCGTTTCAGGCAGGAGCGGCGCTGGTGTGGTGGTGTGTCATTTGGCGGTCAGCGCCACCCATGGTGACGCCCGTGCCCTCGGCGAGACAAGCGAGCATAGGGGCTCAGGGACGCGCCTCGGATGTCGCCAAGCGGCCGGTGATGGAGGCGATACGGCTGCCGATGATGGGGCGGACGGAGCTACCTTTCATCTTTGGTGGCGCCCGGCGGCGTGGTGCGATGACGTAGGCGGTCGAGGTCCCACCGACGCAGGCAAAGGTGGTGGTGGCTATATGACAAAGCGAAGCCACACGGACGCGCAACCGTGGCGGCACCCGAGGCAGTATCGCAACCCACGCCACCGACGGCCCAAGCGACGGCGCTCGATGTGGGCCGGACGGAGGGGGATGCGGCCGAGGGGTCTCCGGACATCGTGGTGGTGGCAGAGAGGACCGGCGGGGAATTGTCCTTGGCCATGACATCAGGAGGCAGCCACTCGCCCGCGCGGGGTGAACCCCTGCTCCGGTGGACAAATCCAGAAGGCCCGGCGTCGACGCTCTTCACCCTCGATGACGCCGCCGAGAGCATGGAGAGGGAGAGCCTCGACGTGGGAGTCACGTCCATGTTAGAAGCTCTGGACCATGCCCAGGGTGCCTTGGCCGACATTGTCATTCCCGCTAGCCACGTACTTGCTTGATCCTGCTGCTCGCTTTTTCCTTTCTACGCATATTCTTGTATTCTGACCATCGTCTTCTTTCAGTCCCTTATTGCTCGTAGCAGGGGGAAGTCATGGATCCTTCATGAGTAGAAGGGAACCTAGGACCGCCTCATCGAGGAGGCGCGGCTGCGTGGGGAGGTGACAGCCTAGCTTGCTGCCACCTAGCAGAAGGTGGCCGAGCTAACTCCCGTTGCCAAGGAGGTGAACAGTCTCCGATTGCGGGTGGCCGAGGCCCGTCGGCATGCGGACGAGGCTGAGAGGGCATTTGAGGCTCTGTCGGTGAGGTCACAGAATGACGACGAGGAGGCCACCAAGGTTAGGAGGGAGAGGGACGAGCTGCTCCAGAAGGACGCCAAGACCCGTTAGTGGATCTTCGACCTTCTGGCTGAGGTTGAGAAGGAGCG